GCCAATAAGAAGAGCCCAAAATGTTTTTTTTAATTACACAATTTCTTGGGGCTTGACTCATGATTTTTGAATGCTGAGGGTTGGCAAAACGGCCACTATCAGAGACTGAGAATATAGACTATTGGAATGTTTTGATCTAGGAACTCCTAGGCTGTATTGCATGATGTACAGATGTTAAAAAATGACACTTGTATAGCACTATACCAAGATTCATGCTTTGAGATCCTCTGCTAGACGGGACTGAAGTAGTACAAAGTGTCTTACAACATTAATGACTTATGGCTCACTTCACCCTATTAGTTTCTTTTTACAGATGAGGCAATGGAGGCTCAGGGAGGTTAAATGACTTGTCCAGGATCACACAGGATGGATGCCAATAGCAGAGGCAGGACTAAAAGCCAAATATCCCGAGTCCCAGGTCTTGTGCTTATAAACACAAGGCCATTCTCCTCCTGTTGCATCTCATCATTTTGTGTTAAGAAGGCTTGTCCATGTCAAGGGACTATTCACACCAACTGCAGCAGTGACAAAACTTTTATTTTCAGGCATTCAGAAAAATTTAACCCAGGCTTCACATTGTCACACATCACAGCCCTAGGATGCATCTTATTTGTGTACTGAAAAATAATCTGCCTGGTAAAGTGAAGTCTAGGCTGAACAAGATGATCCTACCCCTGACTTCAGTTCATTTTAAAGACAAAAAGCCAGACTATAAACTCAGTGAAATTTCCAGCTGTCCAAAAAACCACCACCCACTGGCAAGATTCGGTTATGTGAGGAGAACCTAAGCCACGTAAATTAGCAGGACATTTGATTTTATCCCAACTAGGAAGTGTAACAAATTCAGAAATGTAACATTTTTCAGTTTGACAAAGAAATGAATAAAAAGACTGCTAATGATGAAAAAAATAATAGTAGATAAATGAAGAGGGGAGTGAGATGCATTATAAATAAAGCAATAAACCCCACAACAAAGATCCAGGCAATGAGAGAAAAACAACTCATGAAACCCCAAACACTTGCGCGCACAATGAAATCTAAGAGACATTCAGTTACACTGCATCTATGCTCACAAACATTGGGTTCGACAAATGTAAAAGCACCCAAGCCCAGTCTATGCTACCGCTTCCACTTCTGCTTCCACCAGTGGAGCTGCACCACTGATGAACTATGGCTATAAAGCTTGCTCATTTAGACAAAGCCCAACAGGATAAGGAAACTATATCCCTCCATTGGGGTACTGTCTTCAACCACCTCTTTAGGACCTCCAGATTAATGACTCTGAACAAAAAAGAACTACTTGAAAGAAAAAAGGAGTCCTGCAGCAAATGTCCAATACCCACAAAAGAACACGAAAGCCCTTACCCAGATTTCCCATCTGTTCCAACGTGGGAGACTTGTTAGCTCTACTACAGTCTTGTTTATGTTTCTTTAAATGGTGTAGGAAAGAAACCTTAGGGGGAAATCCCTTCTCACATCCATATCTTCGTCCACCCACCAGAAACACACCAATATCCTTCCCAACCCAGCCAACGGTCTTCTGTGCTTCTGCCAGAGGCATTGCTCAAGAGTAAAGGAAGGTTCTGCCTACACTCTGTGGGACTGAATGCATCACCTCTGCAACAACAGAGCTCAGGACTAGAACTCCGAGCCCATCGTGAAACACTAGGCAGCCAGAGTGCACAATCCTCTCTGCAAAACTACCACTCAGCAATCCTACTAGAAGGATCAAACCCAGGACTCCAGTCAAGAGAGGTATGTAGATAATAAAATGCCTTCCTCTATGTAGCTGACCTAGTTTTCTTATCAGGGTAACCAAGTTAACAAGGCAGTATCTATCTGCTTGATTCTGCTACTCTACTTGCTGGCTTTTCTCTTTTGAAGGTTACGCATATGGTTCTCTTCCAGATTTATTTTTAATGAGCATGTCAGAGAATTTTTCTACCTGGGAAGCAAATTGTTAGGCACATCCTGCCAAATGTGGGCTCTGGTCTCCCCACAACATGCACTTACTAGGGTTGAAAAAACTCCTGCCCAATGGCCCAAATGATGGAAGGTGGTTTCCTACCAGGGCACTGGCCTTGGACTTTATTTGGAGCCTCAAACCCTACCTTTTCCAACTACCTCTGGCCAATCATCTAAGGCCTGAACACTTTGTTTGCAACTTTACTGGGAGTCATGATAGGGAAAGAGGGTTTAAAATCCTTTTCTCCTATAGCTCCTCCCAGGAAACATACATGCCCACATCAATTTTGATTATCATTTTATAAAAAGCCTGAATTGCTTATTAATCAAAAAGGTGCACTAGTCACAACATCTGAAACTGAAGCTGCTGATCCGAATCTAATCTAGCTGCCATTCCCATGGTAAATTAAGTCTGAAGCCAAATTACGACCGATACACTCAGGTGCTCAGACACCAGAGATGAGCCTAGTTATTCTCTTGAGGTATTTATACAAGCGTAGGATTTCTCACTCTACAAACACTTAGTGAAGAAACAGATGTGAGTAGTTTGATTAAGCTTAACAAGAGTAATGGCCACATAGAGAGAAGAATATAAACCCTATTGGCTTTAAGGTATTGTTGAAAATGCTTCTTGAGTTATACAATCTACTAAATCATTCCAGCTACCAATTGAGAACTGACAGGAAAATGCATGAGAGGGAGAAAGCAGCTGAGGGCTTAAAAACAAACTGCTCTATCTCCCCAAATTGCAACATGCCTTAACGTCTACAAGAAGAAACTGCAACACTGCAGATTTCTAACAAAAGAACCTGCCTGACTGTGAAGGTGTTACAGGTGTCAATTCTCTTGATGCACTAAAATTTTACTATCCGAGAACCTCCACTACAAATATAAGTGGGACTTATGCTCAAATAAATTTGTTAGTCTCTAAGGTGCCACAAGTACTTCTCGTTCTTTTTGCTGATACAGACTAACACGGCTGCCACTCTGAAACCTAAGCAATCTAGCACAGCTAGAGCATGCCAATGTACAAGCCAACACTGAGTCAGACCCACCAAGTAAAGACACTTCCCCAGACAGCCCTGCCTGATAGCAAGCACTCCACTGGCTCTGCCTGATATAGATATGTATCAGGCAGAACAACAAGTGAGGCACCCAGCGCTACAGGTAGAGGAATAAAATAGGAGAGGAAGAATGAATGTTATCTAACCCACCTGTAGGGGAGGTAGGGAGAAGTGGGCAGCCAGGGGCACAAGAATAGAGTGCGCCCCTTCCAGCACACTGCCTCTGAAATCCACTGAGATGTCTGCTACTAGCCTCAACTTGTTGGGCTAGTCCTACAGCTATGCAGAGTTGTCAGTTTGTTTGCAATCCAAAAATGTCCAACATAAGCCAATGTACCCAAAATGTGCTATTTGGCCAGACTGGAGTTACATTGGGCCAAATTAACCCCTGCTGTAACAGTGAACAGGGTAAATTAACAATAAGACATCTTCCCACTCTAAGAAATGGTAACAGTCTTGAACTACTGCATTCTGAGTAAATTTCTTAATCCAAATACTCAGTATATTAGAACCTTGTTTAGGGAACTAAACTGATCAGACTCCCACCCAACCTGACTGCTAAGGCCATCTATAGATGAAGCACCATCACTTGCAATTGTTCAGTATATTTTGAAGGCAGCAAAAGCAATCACTAATTGCCAGATACAAGATAGTAATTTCAATATGAAAGACAGTAGATGACCTAAAGAACTGCTCGAGTCTGACAATGCAAGTATTGCGTCAGTGAAGGAGTGTTTTCAAACTTTAATATGTACAAATAAGCTGCAAAATGAATTTCTCAGCTGTCCCATCTGGGATTGGCACACATTTCTCCACATGCACTTGAGATCCTGCCAGCTCGTCCGGCCAAGCAGCCAATAAGCCAAAGAGTAAAACTGCCATTCTGTCCTGGTACCAAAACATGCAGTTTGCAGTAAAGGGGGGGGGGGAGAAGGGGAATAAAACTAACATCCAGATATTTCAATGCATTAACTTGATTTTAAATCCTTATTCTGTGGTACCAATTACAGTTCCTCCAGCATCTGTTTTAACAAAGGCTTTCAAGTTAAAACATGCTTCCTTTGTCTTACCGATGTTCTGTATCTTCAAACCTTTTCCCATTTCAGGCCAAAGTTGTCATCCTGAACGACTGAAGTACAGAACCCACCCATACACATGACAGATATCGTTCAGTGTAGCTCAGGGCACGTCTACACAGCAAAGAAAAACCCACCTTGCAGGGTCCCAGAGCCCAGGCTCCTGACCAAGCCTGGAAGTCTACACAGCAATGAGACAACCCCGCAGCACAGCTGGTACAGTGGGCAACCCGTGAGTTTCTCTTTGCTGTGTAAACATACCTTAAGGTCTGGGCTACACTAGCGGGGGGGGGGTGTCGAAGTAAGATACACAACTTCAGCTACGCGAATAGTCGAAGTATCTTAGTTCGACTTACCTGGCCGTCCTCACGGTGGTGAGTCAACCGCCGCGGCTCCCCTGTCGACCCTGCTTACTCCTCCTGCCAAGGTGGAGGACGGGCGTCGATTTGGGGATCGATTTATCATGTCTAGATGAGACGCGATAAATCGATCCGATACATCGAACACTACGCGCCGATTCGGCGGGTAGTATAGACGTAACCTAAGAGTTCAGCTACCTAAGCAGGCAAGTACCAAAGCATTTGTGTAAGAGCAAGCACATTTGTCACCTCATTCAGAGGGCAGGAAAGAAACATTTTGTGCATCCATAAGCCATTTAGTTACCTCAGCCTTTAACAACATACTTACATGGTGACACAACTACAAGATATTCCACAAAGCAACGCTAACTTGGACAGCAGCCTGGATGGTGCATTACAAACAAGAGGAAAGTATATCTGAGGTGCAGGAGACAGAGGAATTTTCCTGCACCCACAAGCCCATTTATGGCAATCCAACACAGAGCATACTGGATGGTCCCCGATAGCGTGCCGCCTTCCCAACTGCAGAATGCAAAGTCTCAGTCAACAAGCACACTGAATTGTGCTCTGATCTGCAGTAGGCACAGACTGATCTTGGGCGGCAAGGTGTTCTCAGAGGGACCCTCCGCTTTGGAAACTGCTTCTCTCCTTGGTGGGTCACAGCCTGGATTTGATAATCTTCAAGGCATGCTTTCAACTGGAAACCACATATCTAGACGGATACATCACTGAGCCTGCACCTTAAACTCAGATAGTTCTCTACAGTACCACGAGGGTTGCTGGGCCAGACCATCGGAGGTGAGCAGCACCATTTACACTGAGACAAGTACAGGGTTTCAGCATTTGCTATTTAATTTTTGCACTGCCATAGCACCTTGGACTCCTAGTCATGGACCAGGACCCCATGGTGCTAAGTACTGTACAAACACAGAACAAAGACAGTGTCTGTCCCAAAGCAATGCCACAGGGCAAGGTGTAGGTGTACAGTACAGAGGTACACACATGCAGCCGATGTCTAGGGAAATAGGAGGCCAAATGAAGCTGTGCACCCCTTTTTGAGCAGAGCATTTTAAGATATAACACAAAACAATGCAACAGATTGTGACTGTACCTTTCTGTACAGTACAGAGATGGCCCCTGGAAAGCACCATATACCTCAGGGTAGGAAAGCGTAGTGCTGCTGGAACAGCGCCTGTGGTTCACACTTTGCGAAGGCAGTAGAACTTTTCTTAACTATCTCTTACAACTAAAGCTAGCATGAACTGGCTCCAGTTTCTCCCCAACTTGCAAAGCAAATACAGCATGTCTGAAACTGTAAATACTTTAACCATAAACCATTATGGCATCTAGCTTACACAGCAATTCTCTCCACTCAATAAGCCAATCCTCTTGGGGGAGACAGTTTATATAATCGCATTGTTACATATCATGGGAAGATAAAGGACCATTTCTCATGTTTTAATTTCCTGAATACGAAGTTAGTTGCTCTTAATCAATACAATATAGTAAAGAGGCACTCGGATACCATGGTGATTGGGATGGTACAGAGAAATTACCTGCAAATTAGGGCATGTGGCCTATAGTTTAGAGCAGCAGCCAGGACTCCGATGTTCTAGTCCCACCCCGTCACTGAATGACCCTAAGCAAGTCACTTAACCTCTCTATGCCTCAGTTTCCCAATCTGTAAACTGAGATTAATTTATCTATTTCACTGGGATACTGCAAGATCTAATTGTAAGAGTAACTGGAGATAATTTGATGAAAAGTGTTCCATAAATGTAAAGTACAATTGTAAACGTATCATAAGTGCACACTGTGCAAACTGCACCAGTCAAGGAGTTAAAGTGTCTAGGATGAACTGAAACACACTGTTTTGATGGTATTTAAAACAAAGAAAAACCCTGAACAGTTTCTAAAGAAAATATCAGTTATTCTACTATGGGTTCCAGGACTGATTTTTTGTTGACGACAATCTTCTACACTAAGAGCTGGTATAGACTACTCTTAAGTTGATGTAACTTACATCCCTCAGGGGTGTGAAAAAGACATCCTCCAAGTGACGCATGTTACAGTGAACCATGCGCTGCCCCTCCCCCCCCCCCCAAGCACTGGCTCTGCTGTTCCCAGCCAATGGGAGCTGGGGGGCCGGTGCCTGCGGGCGAGAGCCGCGCAGAGCTGCTTGCGCGCCTCCGCCTAGGAGCCGGACTTGCTTCTGGCTGCTTCCGGGGAGCAGCACGGTCCACACGCCAGGACAGTCAGGAAGCCTGCCTCTGCACCCTGGCTGCATCGCTGACCGGGAGCCGCCGGAGGTAAGCCTGTGCCCTCCCTTGTGCTCCCCCAAACCCAGAGCCCCCTCCTGTATCCCAAACCCCGCACCCCCAGCCCAGTGCCCTGACCCCCCCCCCCGTACCCCAACCCTCTGCCCCAGGCCTGAGCCCCCTCCCACACCCTTCATCCTCAGCTCTGTTGCATCAGGGGCATCAACAATTTTCTTCAACTGGGTCACCAGAAAAAAAGTTTGAAAACCACTGGTGTAGACTTGCCCCAAGTCATCATTTGTATATTCTGCCAGTCTGTCTTGTCTCTCTAGGGAGAGAGATCACACTCTGCTTTGAACCAATTACCTCCTGCTAACTTCTACTGATATTAATTACACCCATTACAAACTGTGTGATTTATCAGCACTGGGTTGTGTCTGCCCCATGTTCAATTTCCAAGTTCCAAATATTTTAGGATGTCAATGTTTTGCTAGTTTTGTATGGTAAAGAAATCTTTCAAAATGCAGCATTGCGGGGTATCACCTTTGTACATTCAAATGAGACATAATGGGTTTCCAAAGACTCAAGAACACAGTAACTATGGCAACAATACAGAGGACAGGATGTGTGGGGGGTGTTCCACAATTTTAAATATTTTGATCAAGACTGACTTGAAGTCTCATTTCTACAGACAACTTGTCCCAGGGACTGTGTGCGCCGTGTGTTTCTTAGGTGAAGAAGGAATGTAAAGAGCTTTCAAAAGAATCTTGAGCAAGAGCCTTTGAAAGCAGTGGTTGCGGGGAGGAGAATGGGGGAATGGTTCTCTTTAAGGCAGACTACTGAACATCCACAAAATGCTAGGTAATAGCCATTGCATCGTTTGGAGGCAAGTCACATCAATTCCAAACTGGCACTAGACCTACAGGATGTGTCTAGAAACCACACATTATACCATAGAGCCTATGAGCCCCAGTCATGGACCAGGACGCCATTGTTCAGGATGCTGTACAAAGAGAACAAAAAGATGGTCCCTGCCCCCAGACAGCTTACAATCGAAGTCTAAGAAATGAGAGAACAGATGGATACAAATAGACAGGGGAGTACAAGGAAACAGTGAGATCATAGTGATTATAACTCAGGTTAACTGGAATCACAAATCCATTCTTAAAGACAAGGTTAAACTTTAGAATCAGATGTGAACCAACAAAAGCCAGAGAATTCCAGGCAACCGCTGCTAACTCCGTCCTCAACACAATCATATCAGACTCCCTTGTTTTTAACCAGTTTGAATCACAATTGTTTTAAATTTCATTTCCATTGCTTTTTTTAAAGTGGATGACTGAAGGACCAAAGAAGGAAAAACTAATTATAATGGCTTAAGAGAGACCCAGCTCACCGACAAAAATCATTCTGATTCCTCCAAACACAGGATACCATGCACCATCACAGGGACTTCCAGCTATGTTCAGACCAGATGGAGCCTTTCACCACACACCAGAATGCCTCCTACAGAACCATTACATCAATCCATTGCAAAGATAGTGTGCATAGTTTTAAAAAGATATTATAATCTGGACGAGAAACAGAATTTGTAGTTCTTGAACTGCAGACCAATTATTCCAACTGTAGAATTAAGACCGTCCAAAAAAGTGCAATTAAAAGGATTCTTCCTTCCTTCCAGATATCCCGCCACCCCAAAATAAACTCAGGCAACTCAACCTTGGGATATGATGCCTTGAAATTCTCATTCCTTTCCTTGTTGGCCCTTCCTTTAAATTGCAGATTTAACCTTACCTTATTTAATTCAAGCTTGTGCTGTCTCTTGCCTTTTATTTTTTGGATGCATTAACAGCAGTCAAAATGGGGGGCGGAGGGAGGGATTCACAGCTCAAGTTTTTTTCTGCTTATTTTTAATATTAGAAATTAAGGCCTTGTCTATCTTGGAAGACTGAAGACTAGTGACACCCCAGAAGTCAAGAAGGGCTTTTTAGTCATTGTTTACATTTTTGTTTTGTTAACACCTTCACCCTTTAACTTCAATGACGAATTAACATCTTGGATAAAGGACATCTATGTCAAAGATTCAGCAAACACCATTGTACATCACATCACTATTGCATGCAGAGATCCTGCATAGATTCTAGTCACTTTGCATTGCTTCATTACTTACAAAATGTATATATACTATATATAAGTAACAAACCACACCTACTAACAACTGCTGATGCTCTAAAAAGTAAGCAGAGCTTTACAGAGCCTCTCACATCTGGGTCACTGGTCAATAGTGACCAGGAGAAACTACTATCTGCCATCTGTTCAGTGGCCAATATGAAAGGAGTTGGATGGTCTCAGTATATTTCCTACTGGATCGTTATGAACTTCTCATAAACCAGAACTAGCCCCCTTTTAGCAATCTCCAAGACTAAAGATACAGCTGCCCAGGTGAGCCCTCTAGAACAGAGTTCTGAGACAATGGTGAGGCACCTTGGACCTGTCACTGCTGTACCTGTGAGGCAGACACCTTTCATGAGCATCACTGATCAAAGCAGATCAAAAGTCAAGGACTAAAATTAAAACATTTTTAACAAAGTTTAAATTGTTTTATTTAAGTTTGTCAATGCGAGCATGGGATGAATTAAACTCATCCTAAAGGGGATTCAGATTGGTCAGAGAACAGACAGGAACTACCTAATGGCATGCTAAATGCGCCTAGAATAACCAACTTTCAAAAAGCAGCCAGCCTGAGTCACTGCAGTTAACCTAAGTCTGTACTATCTTAGTTCTGCTATCAAGAGCTAATCCTAATAACTTCAGCATCACTTGCCCTTTATCAACTATAGCACTACAAAGAAATATCAGTCCACATTTCACCAGCCTGGAGCAGCTGACATTCTGATTCTTGAAACAGTTGATGTGGTTGTGGATTTTAAACAAGCAGTTTCTAACCAGCCTGACTCAATAGTCAGTCACCACAAGGCAAGTGGGTTCAAGCTTTTTTTTGGGGGGGGGGGGGGGGAGGGGCAAGAGGGCAATAGGGAGTTCAGGAGAAACAGTACATTAAAATTTTGTTCATATACACTTAAAGATTTTAAACTAGGGCACTTCAATCCCTCAGTGACTTACTGTTCCACTACATCCTTAAGGAGGCACTGAAATATTCATAACAAATGTGAAGCCTAAATATACAAAAACATATATTTAAAAATCAGAAGAATGTGCTTGTGAGGTTGCATGAAACGACATTCTTAACCCTGGGAGTGGTGCATTGATGACCTCATCAAGCAGAAAACTCAGGCCAGGAAGTGTTTTGCTCATGTCCTCAAAATAGGAAGCCAGCACCCAAACTCATTTTATTCTACCAAGGCAACAGTGAAATTGAAAACAGTCACTTACATGCTCTTGCAACTAAAACGCAAGGTTGTGCTTAAATGGGACATTTTATGAAGTCGCCATTAAAATCTTTAAGTTAACGGATTGTTAAGTGTATATATCCTTCATACTTCTCTGTGCTATGTCACTAAGGAAAGCAGATATTTTATT